ATGCATGTACGAACGGGATAGAATGTAGGTCTGCGGATGCTGATGGGAAGGTGGAGAGAGGATGATCTATGTGTAGTAGTATCTATCTATCTCCACTATGTACCTTATCTTCTATCTGGTTACTGACTTACAGACAGATAAATGAAAGGGGACATGGTCTCCTGTTCTTGAGAGTATACTCTGAGTGACTAAGAAGGGTAGCGGGAGATAGGTTGAGCTGGTGTGTGAATCTTAAGATGATTCCTAATTCTGAGTTCTTTCCTGACAGGATGATACCTCCTTAGAAGTCAGGCAGACGAACCACAGTCCAACCCATACCATCCCTATCACCAAACCTACCCAAAAACCCTACCTGTTATTGCCAGAACTTCAACATGACAGGAGCTTGTGTGTGAGTTCCAGTGGCTGAGAGACAGTATTGCAGGCCACCTGTGTCATCAATACAAGGAATCCTTCTTCAGGAGCTTGTGTGTGAGTTCCAGTGGCTGAGAGACAGTATTGCAGGCCACCTGAGTCATCAATCCAAGGAATCCTTCTTCATGAGCTTTGTTGGGCTCCAGTGCAGTTCCTTTGTCCTCATATGTGAGACCATCAGTGGTTACCAGATCAACCAGAGGAAAAGCAATCTATTGAGTCAGCCGGTTCAAATCACCATGGACTAAGGGGAGCAGTGACATACCAGATTGGATAAGTACATCTGAGATGACATACATGCTCTCTTTCCATGGCTACCTATAATTCACAGTGATGAATCATGTACTTTTTTTTGAGAACTTACTCTGGCTGTTTCAACATCATTGCTGTGACGTTAAGTCCTGAACTCCTTTCACTGGAAACCATCTTGATTGTCTTGATATATATATATACATATATATATATATATATATTATATATATATATATATATATATATATATATATATATATATATATATATATATATATATATATATATATATATATATATATATATATATATATATATATATATATGTTGAAATTATTACAACCAATTCGAAATTTTCATGGCTGACTTGGGTGTCCCTGTTTCACCATTCTAGCTGTCTAGTTTTATGTTTGTGTGAATAATAAGTGTAATCTGTGTTAACATGGCTATGATAGTATACTATCATAACCTGGGTGCTATCTTTTTATAGTAGTGGGGGTGTCCAGCCAAGTGTGTCTAGGAATATTAGATATTCTGTAGTGCCAGAGCTTGAGCTGCCCTACTCCTGAAATAAGTTGGGCGTATATTGGCCACGGGATCTTACTTAGACCAATACGAGCCAACGCCTCAACATTATTATTTCAGACTGCTGTTGGTTCTTAAGGAGAAATCCTTAAACAGGCACGCGACACGAGCGGTATGTAACATGTGGGTGTAGAACAAGAATGTTATACAGACTCAGCCAGTTCCTTGTTATGCAAGTCATTGAATGTGGTCTGTCTATGTTACCGTGTGAAAGACTTAGCTGAAGACATTAGAACGCACACAGAAGGAAGCTATGTGAACCACTCTGGGATGCGCGAATGACACACCAGTTGTGTGTATGAGATGTGACATAGTCCTGGCTATGCCAACCATTGCTGATAGACAAAGTATACTGCAGGCTGGGTGCAGCCTAAAGTTTCAAGTGATACAGAACATATCCTACAGAGGGAATAGGACACTGTGAAGGGGGAGTAACTAGAGAGGGGCAGATCCTGAATGACACAAGCTTAAAAGACTGCGACGTTGAAGAGATTAGCCGAGGAGAAGAATGGGTAAAGGTACTGGAGGGCAGAGAAAAGCTACACAAATAGGTTATTATCTAGGGATGGGAGTGTAGGAAATGGGCGGCGGGACGTGCGAATGCAGAGGTTCGGCAGCTGATAGACAACTCTAGGCCTGTTGATGTGAGTATATCCACTAATGGGTCAGTAGCCGGTGGGCAGAACGAGAGGATGGGGTTTCACTGCAAAAGCATGGGGCAGAGGATTACTGAGGCGAGCTTGGTATACGACATTACAATATTAAGCATGAGAATGGAGGTTGAGGCGGTATTGCGGCGTTCAGATGCCCGTAGAAAATCTCGGTCACACGTTTTCATAGTATCGTATTCGCAAAGCTGAGGAAGGTGGATTCAGGTGTTTTTCGTGTGGAATGTGTAGCATCAATCCAGTGATCGCAGGTGAGAGCCGGGATGAGCACGCAGACAGGTGCCTGGACTGGTGCCATATTGGGATGGATTGCAGCTGCATAAGGCAGAGATGATCCCTTGCCTGTGGGAGGAGGTAACAAGTAAAATGGAAGATACTGAAAACCCCTACCTGGAGGAAATGATGTAATGGGAAGTGTCTGCGAGTTCTGGGCGCACTCTAGGATTAGACAAGTTGTTAACAGGATGGCAACGGGTGTCATTAGTATGGAGATTATTCGCCGGCTGTTGGCAAGGGAGACAAAGCTGATATAGACTTCTCCTGAAAGCTGTGATGTCGAATCTTTAGCGAGATGTACTTTAATGGCCGTATTTAGAATGAGGTTTGCCTGATGACAACAAGCTGTCCAGAATGCAAATTACTGTTCTGTTGTGCTATTATATGTCAGAAGGAGCTTGCAGTCTTCTTTTCCGTTCTATCCTATGCAATGATGCACACACATATGTTTACATTCTCAACCCAGCATGCTCTTCTGTCAATGACACGATCGTTTTGTATTAGGAATTCATTTATTAACTGCGGTTTCTTTTTTAGGCGTGGTGGGGGTGGGGGGTAGTAGTTTGTTGCTGATTACTGTTTTACATTTCTTGTGGAATGTTACTCATACACTTTAATTTCAATGCTTCCCTCAAATTATGAACATTATTTAGAAGCGTCGGGTACCAAGGCTCCTTGATTCCCCCCACCCTCTTCTTTTTAAAGAAAAATTGTAGGGTTGGGGTATAGACCACCCCACCACAACTAGACAAGGTATAGAAGGACTAAGTGCCCTCTCCCGGCCCAACCATATTTTAAAGTTCTGTTTTAAAGTATTTTCTCATAGTTTTCATATCATTAAAAACTTACTGTTACATATATTTGTCATTCAGCCCATTATTACTACTAATATTATATTTGTTATTATTATTACGCACTTAAACATAAGACTTAGTTCCCTTGAGGCTCCCTGCTCCAGACAATTTTTAATGGGGCTTAGCCGCCCAATAGTTTCTTTGTATCAGCGCCCCTGACATCTCTCTGTGTGTGTGTGTGTGTGTGTGTGTGTGTGTGTGTGTGTGTGCTTCAAAATGAATCAGTCGGCATTATTCTGGGGCGCACAAGAGACACCTTGTGTTCCAGTGTGATACCTTTCTTGACTTTCCGACCATGAACCCCAGCATCAGGATTTAAAGCGCTCACGCCTAATTGAAGATAGGCTCAGATCTGACGCACCCTTTACATCACATTCTCTATAGCAAAAGTGCAACAAACCTTAAAAGGAACAAATCATGGCTGGGTAGGGCGAAGGATGATATGAAGCACGTGAGCGTGGCGCTGTGACCTCTGTCACTAGCGTGAGGGAAAGTCCAAAACGATGTGCATAAGGAGATACTCCGTACCTCGCTTAGGCGCTAGCCCTTTAATGTTCTGGTTTTACGAAACCTCCTTGCAAGACTCCTGCTGCACGTCCTCGTCGTGTGCACCGGATAATGTCTCTAATGAGCATTAGCAGAGCTGTCAGTGGATCTTGGAGTTGGCGGCCCCTGAGGTGTTGAGTGCTTGTGGCTGTCATCAGCCCGCTCCCAAACGCATGGGTGAAAAAGTTTATCAAAACTCATTTGGAACATGAGTAAAATCTACTGCCAAATGTACCACTAAATGATAACTCTCGGTTAAAAGTGTGTGGAGTATGCACTGCTGAGACTCAACCCTTGACCAAGAGATTTACTTGCAGCTTAGACGAGTAACATCTGTGGGTGGCTTCCCGCAGTGAGATCCTACCTATGTACATCCTCTGTCAACCCTCAGCGTTGTCGTCACCGCGCTGAGGTACACCACGACAGCAACTGTCCATCGGCTGGCTAGGCCCTCATATCGGAGAAAGAAAGATCCTACAGAACACGACCAAGCTCAAAACCGACCATCATAAATCGTACTGATTGGGAAAAAGTCCAATAGTCCGAATCCAGAGTCCCCACTCACCTGAGTGTTGTTGCTGATATCTGGCCTGTGGATCGCAGCGACATTGTTAATGCCCTTTGAGAGATAGAACGATCGGGGGATTTTGGGAGAACTGTGTCCACATCATTGTTAACAATGCGAGAATTAAAAGTGAAGATCGACAACGCCATACATGAGAAGTCCACCTGACGCGAAAGAAGTCTTGTCAGCCTGTACAGGATTGGCTTTATTATTATTAACTGCGGGACGCTAAGCTATATTTTGAAGGGGAAATCTGAGCACCCATGGACGTGTCTGGAGTGCCGTAAAGATAACCGAACTCATAACTCGTATGATTATTGTGTAGCTTATATTATTAATTTTAAACCTAATTAAATAACTGAGAAAAGATGTCAAAATTTTGAGGATATTATATGTGTCAGTATACGTGCATCTTTGTGTGTGTATGTGTGTGTATGTGTGTGTGTGTGTGTGTGCATACGACTGTGAACGCGTGCGTGTGTAGGTGCATTTATGAATGTGTATGCTTGTGGGCAATTATAAACTATTCCTAATTTCGAAAGACTATTGTGTGTGTGTGTTTATTTGTGTGCGTGCGTAAGAGTGAAATCGCATGCGCGCGTACGAATGTATGTGTATGGAGACGCTGAGAAACCACGAGTCTTAGAGAAAGTGTCGTTACTGACAATCCAAGGGAAAAGTCCTTTAACAACAACTGTGTTGACATTTTTGTTTTAACTGTGAAATTACTGCAAGCATTGATGCGCATACTCGGATGTGCCATCGGTAATGATACAACAAATATTATCTAAACTACATACTTTTCGCTCCAAAAGTAACATGTTTTTTCTTTCTTGCCAGATTGTCCTGTGTCTGGTGATGTACATATTATTCAAACCAACCTCTAAAAAGACCCAAGCCGTGCGCACAGAGAAGGTGGTGGAGCTTTCGTGTGACATGACTCTCCCGGGCCTCGCTTCGTTCCTAGCCTACAACTTAGTGTTGGTCTGTGCCTGCGCCATGTTCGCCTTCAAGACAAGAAAGTTGCCAGATAATTTCAACGAGTCTCGATTTATCTCCATGACCGTCTATACAACTTTGGTTATATGGTTAGCGTTTATTCCCACCTACTTCACAGCCAGCAGGGAGATTATTCGAGGATTACTTCTGTCAGTAGCGTTACTACTCAACCACACGGTGGCTGTCTTGTTTCTGTTCTTGCCCAAGATTTATGCCATCAGGTATGTAGATCCTGAGTGTGTGGATATCCACAGGTTTCACACTGCAGAGACAACCCACACAGTATCCGGCTCCACCAATCGGGTGGGTGCTCTTAATAGTGCCACACCTCATCGAGGTTTTTGACAACTGGCAAGCGATAAACACCCTCCAGCGAAGGGCAAGCCACGGCCAGCTCCAGATTTATAAGGCCGTACAGCTCGAACGGGAATTCCCGTTCTTGTGCAAGAATTAAGTCCCTCTGCATCCACAGTTTTTATCGAGGAGATGTATACACAAATTAAACTACAGTTTCATTAATTTTCGACATATTTTTTAGAACTATACGTAATTTTTAAGGTAAAAAAGTGTGCCAATTAAATATAACAAAAAAGGCTCTTACAAACAAAAATGCTTTTGCTACAGTCAACATGAACATAAACATCAATAACGTTAAGATGTAAACTAAAAGTTGTTCCAGCAAAAGTAAAGAAATATCAGTGCGAACTCTTTGATTCTGAAAGGGTAATGCTGCATCAGAGGAGCGGAAAGGGATGGAAAGGGGGAGGGGTGTGACATTTGTACTTTGTAAAATTTAGCGCATTGAAATACTGCTATGAAACATACACATGTCATACATAACATAAATATAAATGATTGATGGTTATTATTATTAGACTACTACAACATACAATTATACTGTTACCTAATAATTAGTAAACAAGCACAATCAGTAGGAAATTGATATGTGCAATACTTTTTTCACCCAGAATAGTTTTCTTAACAGTACTTATAGCACTATTAAATATGTATCCTCAAGGTACAAACAGCACAAACAAATTTATCCAGTTTCATCTTGTTGGATGAAATCAATTCCTTGTCATTGCGAATTTTTTTGTAACAAATATGAAAGGGAAGTGGATAAACAACCAGAAGTTTCTGCAAGAGTTTAGAGCCAGTGTTCGCGAAGCAAAGCAAAACCCAGTTTACAAAAATGAACAGACCGTACAACTGCAAATATGCAAAAGAAGTCGGTGAGCAACCAGAAGTTTCCACAAGAGTTTACAGCCAGTGTTCACGAAGCAAAGCAAGAACCAGTTTACAAAAATTAACAAACATATAATTATACTGTTAGTCAACAATTAGTAAAGAGGCAAAGAGTGACTTGCTGTGAGAGGTTAGTTACTAAATTAAATATTATTTTCATCCACTTACCTAGAGCTCCGAAATATCTTGACACAATTTATCCACAGTGTGGTTGCACCATTTATGCACAGTCAATATGAAAGCAATAGTTTTCTTCAAACACAAGATAGTTTGCACCTGACAACTGTCGATATTCTCCAGATATGGCTTCTAAATTACCTGTTTGTATTATCCCTAAAAGTTAGATTTCTACATTTAAAGTAGAAAAGTAATAAACAGCCAGTTCCAAAAAATCCGAACTACTGACTAGAAACAGTGACACTGACACACACATCACAACACGACTGTCTCCCGTGAATTACAATAAAAATTGCTGTAATCTAACAGCTTGTATGTAAACTTTACAATATCCGCTTGTCGATTTGTAATACGAATACAATCAGAACACAGAAGTTTGTAAGCATATTATAATGTCACAAAATGCAACATGGAAACGCTTGCAGTAACCTATTTTCGAGGGGGACTCCTCGAAAATGTGCCGTGATTCAGTTGTACGGCCTTACTGGAGCTGGCCGTGGGCAAGCTAAACTGATAGCGCTGTCCGCCATGATGATAATAAACAGTATAGAAGGCCTACTGGGAAAACACTCAGATCCGCAAGAAGCAGGGCCATGTGGCAGGAACCCTTAATATGAAATGACACAGTCTACTGAACGACATCCGGGAAAGAAGCCAGAACTTCACCTACCGCTTGAGATAACTTTGGGGGCTAGAATATTCCACCAGACAAAGATGGACAACAGCAAAGACAAGATTAAACGTCATTGGAGAAAGAGAACCCAGACCTGATGATACAGAGTGCAGAGAGGACCATACGGAGAGGCAATGTACCGACCACAGTAGCAGTAGTCACGTCAAAGGGGAAGTGTAGTATGCGATACGAGGGAAGGTATCGCATATCTGGCAAAAGTATCTAGGGTGACGATTATACTTCAGTCACACACTTAACAGTTCCTTAGCAAATAATCACGACGTCTACTGGGTTCCCTACATAAGAATACTGACGTAGCACATGTACACACAGGCACCATCGTACCACCAGCACTGAATAACAAAGCTTGAACATCATTACTAAATATACCATTACAAGTCATCTGTGCTAGTTCACCGGGGTGCATAAAACGAAGTCGCAACACGATTCGCAGGCTACGAAGACAATGAAAGAATTGAAAACAACTACATTCCCCGACGACGTAGACAAGAAGATAGCGGAACTAAAAGACCTGCTGATCTCGATAAAAAGAGACATAGAAAACATGGAAGAGAGTGCAATATCACGATAGGGGGTTGGGTGAAGCCAAATGGCGAGCCCTGGACGTATAATGGAAAAAATCCAACAGTCAACGGGAGGAGACTACCTACCAATCAGATTATGAGATCAAAGCCCCAAACCTAGCCAGTGACTAGGACGTGGAGGTAACCGACAGCTCAGATCAAAGCAGCCCGATGAAACTAAAGATACCTTCTCCTAGCTACAATCACTGTGTAACAAGCAAGAGGACAAGATCTTAGAGAAAAGGCCTGCGTCGTCCTTATCAGGATAAGGTCCTTATCATGGCATCACTAAAGAAAGCAGCATCAAACAGTCCCTCACGCAGTAGATGAAAGAGAAGCGGACCCCTGAGAGCCCCTGCAAACACTGACAGCGAATTTGAAGAAAACACCAGTTGGAAGATGAGCCAAGTTAACCCCAACAATCAGGCGTACCAAAAAGAAACAAACAAAATTGAATCTCCTACTTGAGGTTTGAGGTTTGAGCAACATATCAGCATCATGGCACAGGGGTAGTGCCCATAAGTGTTCCGTTCTTTCTTCTAACTCAAGTCTGAATCCGAAGAAGCTCAGCACAGTGCACAGGCTCTGTAGCACATGCGAGAATCCTGAAATACTTTGGGTAGATTTTAAACTCCAAATGTTGCCTTATCAGCGCCGTTAGGCTACTCTTTTCTATTTCCAATTGCCGATGGATTTTTTTTACGTGTACAACAATGCACACGGACGTCCGATCTCACTACCCAGAGACCAGGAGGAATTACTAGAAGTCCTAGTCCGCGTGAAAAAAATCCCAGCCCATACAGGGGATTAAACCCGGAACCTTTAGCACTCGAGGCGGACACCAAGCCTCGAGACCATGCAGCCCCGATCCCACTTATAACATGTGAATACAGGTTGAACAGGGTCAACTTGATATTTTATCCAGGTTATGCCGGCGTGTTGGGAAAGGGAGCAGGCAAATAGAATGCCCGATTCATTTGGTGGTGAAATAATATGTGACAAGCAAGATATGGTGTAGGCCCTTTGGGAGCGAGTGAGCAGTGCTGAGGCACACATTTCTTTGTTATAATCTGAGGAGAAGGGCGCTGCCAGGGGATCTGTCCGACGCTTAACACTTAAGGGAAGGGCGAATCGGATTTACAATCAGACAGTTGCTGGTGCCATCAGAATTGGAACTTTTCGCTTTTTGCTGAAGATGGGAACGGAGCGCTTATGTGAGTTTCCGTAGTGCTGTGCTGTCGATTCTTAATGCAATATTCATCATTCAGTTGATAGAAAAAAAATTGATGTCCATGTACTAACTGGCATATTCGCTGTATCCTGTCAGGTGCTTAGTGCAGATTTTACGTCAGTATTTAATGAAGCATAACAAAGGAAGCCAGGCGAGTGAATTACATAAATCACATAGTCCTTTATTTCACAAAGGGAGTCTTAGAATAGTGACATGTTACGAGAACAGAGGTAACATTGTGTTTTTAGTATTATTTTCCTTGCAACAACACGAACAGTGTATTGCCTGTATCCGAGTATTTAAAGTGAAGGCGGCATTACATGAGCATCTTTAAGAAGCATACAGCCAACATGGGATCTTCAATGATTTCAAGGTACAGACAGTCCCATACCACATACATTCGTTGATCTGTGAAGTGCTAGTCTTAATATATTCTAGGCCACGATATATGAGATGGAATGGTTGGTTCCTTTCCTGGTCTAAACAGTTCTGGAAATTGTCTTGTATTTTTTTTTTTCTGGGCAACCTTAGTGCCTGACTAGTGGGGAAAACATGCCACTTCTTAACCAGTTACATACTTATATTACTTCACATGAATTAACTGTCACATATCACTCCTGTCACGTGCCTGATGTAAGGATTTCTCCTTCAGAACCAGCAGCACTCAAAAATAATTATGTTGAGTCGTTTGGCTCGTATTGGTCTAAGGGATTCCCCGTGGTCAATATACGCTCAACTTATTTCTGGAGTAGGGCAACTCAAGTATTGGCACTACAAAATATATCTGTATATGAATACAATATTCCTAGGCACACTTGGCTGGACACCCCCACTACTTACTAAAGAAAGCACCCAGGTTATGATAGTTCATTATCATAACCATGTTAACACATATAGTGACGATTCATATACACACAACTGCTAAACACTTAAAAAGGTGAAATAGAGACACCTAAGTCAGCCATGAAAATGAATGCATGTAATCAATATAACATATACATATAATAGTGAAGTAAATGCCAGGTTTCAGTGGAAGGATCCCAGAATATCATGTCCAGAGTATAAAGATACCCTAACAGCCAGAATGTCCTTGAGATAACACCTTGTCATCATTGGGAAACATGGGAGCTTTGAGGAATATAGCACATAAGGCATCAAACTGGACTTATCCTTTTTCCGTCTATGATGCTTCCCTCAGCTCCTGTCTTTGGTGACTCTGTCTCAACTGGATCAACTGGTAGAGGAGTACTTCACCAAAAAGGACACCGCACTGGATCAACACACAGCAAGTGGCTCCCACTAGTCCTTAGCAGCACTGTCCATGAGCTACACACATGTTCTGGCACTGTAGGAAGTTTGGGGTATATGGCACCTCAAACCGACATCAATCTCCACACTTGGTAGTTGGGTGATAAGTGGTAGGTAATGGGTTAAT